GCTATAGCCTGGAGTTCGGCTCGAAAGAGTAACCACTGGCGCAAGTCTGATAGACTAGAAGTATTTAATGCATAAAGCGCTCTGGTAGTGATCATATCCCTAAAGACCATCAACACTCGTTTTTATTTTAGCCGAACACTCTTTTTTTGGTTCAAAAAGTTCATATAACTCCGCTCCAGGAAGCGCTTTGCAGATAAGGAGTTTAGTAGGAGTCAGCGTTTTATGCTTTATAGGAGTATGCGTTTTATATGGAAACTCCACTTCAACCAAGTATCTCTCCCATGTAAGTGTCCAAATTAGGCCTGTTTTCTCTATCACCATCTGCATAAGTTCAGTATATGATCACAAAAAGATCTATTATTGGTCTCAGTTTTTGGGCCGACTATGGTTTTGAGAAAATTGGGTGCATATAACTGATGTGCTCATCCGTCCGTGCATCGATGGAAACGCTTGTTATCAAGGAGCATTTCAGGATATTGGCTTGGCATGATATGCTGAAGAACTTTGCACAAAATGAGATTACCAAAATGGGTCTCGACACTCTCGTGCAGCCTGTCATCTGGGATTACAGCGAGAGCCTGGCAACGGTTGAACGTATGCAAGCTCCCAAAATGAAAACTTGAGTAATCCCAAACATTTAGCTTTACAATACGAACACCTAGTCAAAACATTTGGTAAAATATGGATGTCGTCAGCATTCAAAGGCGCCGACTCTCCCACATCAAAGTATAATAGACTCAAACACTATGTGGAGAATAATGTCGCGTGGATTCTAGCACAAAGAGTTAGCTTGACTTACGAGTTAAAGCCTAAAAATTCTTCACAACAGATGCAAAAATTTCCAGAAATATCGCCAATTTATTCCTTCTCCTCATACTCAAGGAATTATTATCACGGGATGGTCAAGGTATGTTTGTAAAGATAGTAAATGCACAACGTGAGCAGTGAGCTAACGATAAAGTGTCAACTTGTTTATGTGCCCAAATTTTTCCAGATTTTGGTCTCGTTTCTCCATCTTTCTTACAACACCTAGGACTGATTCCAGCAAGGTGTACACGTAAAATCGATTTCGAATAGAAATTCAAATTATTCGCATTCAGAATTTGAAAAAGATTCAGACTTTGCTATTTTCGAATAAAATTCTAAAACACAAACATTTCAAATGCGGGGCGGGCTTTCAATAAAACTAATAATTAACAAAAATTCAAACTACTGGAAAATGAGATTTCTAACAAACGCTGTTCGAGAATAAAAGTTCGTGTTTGGTGCAGGCAAAAATAACCTGGGTGTCAGCAAAAATTTGAGCATGGTTGTTGTGGATATCCGAAAACCATTCAAATAGTTATTCGAGATCCGACCTTCAATATTTTGATACCAGCCGTCCTCTGCCGCTACGCGGCAGATTCGGCTGGCACTCTGCAGCTTCGCTGCCTCGTAAATCCTTCTTTTACTTTATATCCGAAATGTGAGCCATCTTGGAATTACTTCGATTTTTGATTTCGTGATTTGTCAGTTTATTTTGATAACTTTCCAACATGGGCAACGGATGTTACGCAAACTACAAATCAGTAAATCGATTGGGGCAATCTGTGTGTGAGAAAAATGGCTTATTAACACACGTCCCACTTTACGCATTATGTCTGCCAAATGTGGTTCCGAATCCATTACTTCTTCTATCCTTTTTGGGCGCACATAAAGAA